AGGATTCCTAACAATATTTTCTTTACCGCTGAACACACAGTAAATTGCTCCATAGCTTTCTCAGTATTAGAGGAGGCCTGTAACTTTAATAAAGGAGATGAACGAAATTGGGTGCTTGACATCGTTCCGAATTGTTATACAAACATATGTAGGTAATAAAACGATAAATTGTAAGTATAATTAAATGGTTTTTTAATACCGTTGTCCTTGGGACATTCTTAAAAACATTTTTATCTGAAAAACGGAAGCTAATGCTTTTACTATAGCAAAAACGAAACGTTTTTACATTGAAGTAATATGTACTTACGTACTAGAACAGCTATCTCAAACAAAAAACTGTGCGCTACTCTGAGTTCGAGCGGTTGGTTTTTTATCATAGAATAAACATAGGTAGAATGATCCGTAGGTAACAGTAGATTGTATTGTTAAAAAGGTAAATTATATCGTGAACAATATTTAAATTTTGTCATTTATTTTGTATATTATATTTGCTTATTTAATATAATATAACATAATATTATATCACAATTACATTTTAATGATATTTTTATCTGAATATTTTAAAAGGTATCTAAGTCAAACATAAAAAAACATACTAAATGTATGGTTAACAAAACTTATTAACATAACATTTAAATAACAAATATATTTATTCAAATTAGAATAAAAGTCGTTCATAAATGCTGGGCACCCGAGAGTTAAAAATGGACGAATTAATACCACTTTGACTTTGATGTGGAAATCTAAAAATAAAATAAAAGAATAATAAGCTGATTTAAACATGGAAAATTTTGCCAAATTGTAATAACTTATACATGTTTCTACAAAAAAAAATGTGTATAATATTAATAATATATTCGTCCTATACTTAAGTACCCACAGAAATTTCATATCTGAACAAATTAATTTCATAATCTATATTCCATGACGCGAAATGGCGTCTTAGGAATAATTTGTTTTATTATTAATACATAATACTTTTTTATTGATTAAGTATCTTATTAACCGATGAAAAGTAATTCCTTGGTTTTACTGACATTTCTTGAATTATTTGTGCAATATCTAAGTACACACGACGGCATATTTTTATCAAGAGATTTTTTTTTCAATCAACACAACATGTGACAACTCTACAAGCGCCTAGCGAGTGACTGATTAAAGTGCGGTGTATGCACCGCAGTTGAGTGGAACAGAGTAGCTGAATGCAGTGTCGCCTCTAGTACGTAGTACATAATAGCTCAATGCGTTTTTAACTTCTTTATAGTCAACCAAATCTAAGAAATACCTTTTGACGTTTCACATTATTCATTCCGCAATAACTTTGCACAAGCGTACTCATACGATTTTAAAATATCCTTTTGCCTAAAGCCGAAGAATTATGAAGTTATCTATACTATTTCATTACAACGTGTATAGTTTTTTATGACTAATTTAGTTTGAATCTTTCAACATATTAAAAAATACCCAGTATCAACTTTTTTACTTGACGTCGTTTCAATGATATGTTGCTATGTAGCTTAACATGGTGTTTGGATGACTAAAATTTGTTGTTATGAGAATAATCGGCAAAAATAATTACATAATCGGTAAAAATATTCAAATAATCGAATCATACATTTTTTGATGTATTATTTGTTTAATTAAATTTTTATTTTTAAATTTCCTTAAATTACGTTAATCATGAATAAAACAAGATTTTTTTTTGCTTTGTCAACGTAAATTTGTGTAGGCAAAAAACTCATATACAATACCGCGCTGAAAAAAACCACTACGTAATTTCAATCTCCCGCCATTTCGGGAGCTTACTGTGCGTAATTTTGTGATTTTGTATTAGTCTTCTTATTTTGTGACTCTGTAACTATTCTGTAACTTTTTGGCATGTGCCGATGTCATAAAGGATTGAAGTGGTAGAAAAAATAAAAATATTGTTTATGACTTTGAGTGACATTAATTTTGACTGCATTATTGAAAATCAAATAATAATGAATCTAAACAACGACAGTTCAACTAGTTGTACCAAAAGTGATTCAATAAATCTATTTAATCTAGGTTCAATCTGAATTTTTTATAACGTTGCCCCTAGAAATAAGCAGTAACAACAAAAACGAAGAAAGTGATAAATCTTTTGTTTTAAATTATCCGTTTCTAACTTATTTTGGTATTATTCAAACCAAACTGTAAATGATTACCATAATACAATACAATAATCGATATCGATTTTTTTTAAGAATCGAATATTGTACGTTCCAGTTTTTTTGGTTGGCATGCTTAATGCAATAAGTCTGACAAAATGTATTTCTTAGATTTAGTGGACTTTTCATGGATTTTTTCTTCACAAAATACTGATGCGTCACCATGTGATTTTTTTTGGGAAATTTTGACGACAGCTCAACGAACGAACAGTTGATTACGACAGCCACTCAAATTTATAAGACGCCTAAGCGATCAAAATACCTTGAAGTGTATATCTATATCGAAGCACTTGTTTTGTCGTTTTCTCTAACAGTTCACGTGCGCAGACACTTAATCCACAAAATTGCATCACTTTCATCGAAATCCATTTCAAGCCATTATTTAAATGATAAAACAGGTGCAACAATCCGTCGATGGTCAATTTCCTACCAAAACCACTACGTTTTTAAATATTTTTCTGTATTTTGTTTATGACAATAGATAATGAATGCATAAATATTTTGGAACGAAGTTCCTTATCGCGCGTTGCGACACTTTAGACACTTTTTGCTTACCTATACGCTGTTGTGTTTACGAAGTCGAGAGTATATATATATGTGTGTGTGTGTGTATGTATAAAGGAACTTCGTTCATCCGGGTGTCCCTTGACACCTCTCAATTTTGTTTTTATAATTAAATTGACTTCATTACTAAGTAAAAAAATTGAATATTATCTAATACGACTGAATAGGCCGTATGTCATTGATCATTGCCTGTTCCGAAGGAGACTTATATAACTTGGTAACTTGTCGTGCGCCTTTGACATTGTGGCTGTGTTTGTAATTTTGTGTTTTTACTTTCGTGGATTTAGTTAAGTTGACCTTCGGCTTTTCTATTGGAGTAGAGGACAATAAATACAACACCAAAAAACCAAAGGCGGGGAGAACGCTTTTGCCACTTCTTCTCCTTCCTTCTGTGTGTTTCTTGATTGGTCGTGTGGGTGGAAATTCTAATATGTGATATGTGGAATAGAACAGATATTATACAGCCTCCGGCTGCTTTTCTAGATGACATTTTATAATTAATTGCAGAAAATAATTTAACAATTTAAATAAGTTAAGTTTTATTTTACTTTATTTAATAATTTCTACAAAACTATATTATTTGTGTCCTTTTCAATTTATTTAAACAACTTATCGTGAGAACGAGTGATTTTATTTTATTTTATTAATAAGGCACACAAACAGATTTAAGACAATACAAAACACATTTACAGTAACAAAATTATTATAACTAGTCTATATTCCAATAAACTGTGCACAGCAAAACAAAATATGACAAGTATGACCGAAAAATAAATTAATAATACATAGTACTATTAACGCACATTATATTAGTGACAGTTAAAAAAAGGAACTTATTTTATGATATTCGTGATTTTACATATTTACGTAGCAATTACAGATCTTCTAAATTGTGAAATATTAGAATTAAAAGTGTCCAGATCAGCGTTACGATGTCTCAGCTCGTCAAAATTTCGACACATTCGAATGACCGGATTAAAGAAAGACGTGTTGTTTCTATAAACATCAAGGCGAAAGATACGCGAGTTACGCAGACGGGATCGACTGTTAAAATTAATTAAGTTAAGCAATTCTGGGCAATCGATGGAGGAGTAAATGATTTTGTGAAGGTAAATAAGCTCAAAATATTGTCTACGTTTATCTAATTTCGTAACTCCAAAGTAATTCACTCTTTCATTATACGATGGCAACTGGCGGATCAATCCATGTTTACGACATATGCTCCGCAGAAAACATCTCTGGACTGGTTCAATATTAGCTATATGTGATTTCACTACATAACTTACAAATCATAAAACGTAAATTAAAATAAAACCCCAGGTTCTGCAAGAATATGATTTATTGACATACTTACGTATCAAATATTTAAATCTTCAAAATTACACACATTTTTTAACTTTGTTCACGCCGGGACCAAACTTGTATGAAATCAAGTTCATCTTTAATGACAACAGTACATAACATGTTAAGAATGAATGAATTTTTCTACGTGGTTGAGCCACACTGCAACTATAGTTATGATGATTGTAGCACGGATGGGTTGGCTCAACCGGAGTGGGGTGGGGTGGGGGGTAAATAACAGCTCAATGCTGCTGTGTTCCGTGTGGTGAGTGTAGAGCACCGAACCACCGAAGACCCGTCTTACTGAAAACGATGCATTCCATCTTAATTCTCAGGAGTGAAAACGCATCTGCATTTTGATTTTTAAACGAAGATAGATGTAGATAGTTGTCCATGGGCCACAGCTTCCACTTACTATCAGGTGGACTGTGTGCTTATTTTTCACTTTTATTCTATAGGAACAATTATGACAAGCCTGCGCTATGACGCAATGCGGGAAATGATAATACTTTAAAATTTACAAGTTTAAGTAACACAGTCGTGTGACTCGTGTGTGACCACCATACCTGGTTGTCATATAGGGTAGACCGAGGCGAATCGGATCACTTTTTCTTTGAGGTTGAGCAAATCATACTAAAGTGTTATATAATGTTATTTTTATTGATAAAAACGTAAGAAGTAACAATCAGCTATGAAATAAACATTTGAAAACTTAAATCATACATATATTCTCTTAATTAGCTATTAAAAACTAAAAAAAGAAAAATATCCGAATCGCCCCAATTTTCGGGGTGAATCGGATCGTACACATGTAGGTAACAAAATTTTAAGTTTCTTATGACTATAGCTTTGGAATCAATAAAAAATTAATAATGAGATCAATTTTAATTATCGGCACATAATTCACATATATATGGTCCTTTTTCCTCCCCCCATATCAGCACATTTTTCGTGGCACCATTCTTCGCAGGCATTGCACTGAATCCAATCCTCTGATGGTGGATGAACGAATATTTCGGAACAGTAAATGCAGTGCCACTCTCTATGTTTTGGAGATGAACTCTTAATTTTTATCGCAAGCTTTGCTTTATTCTTCATTTTCTTCATAGTATTTTCTTTGCCCACAGCCTTTTCCTTATTTTCCTTGGTTTTATTGTCTACCTTAAATTTCTTCTTTGCTTCTTTTTCGAGAAGAGTAGTCTTATTCTGAGGTGATGTTAAATGCAAGGCCAGTTTTGAAACTTTACGAATTCTTTTAGAAGCAATTGGTGACTTTAAAGGTGATGGAAGAATTTCTTTAATTATTTCTGTACAGGTGGGAGGCTGGGCTTCGTCAGATTGTTGTGAACTTGTGGATGGCACTATATTATCAAGTGGTTTTGTATTTGTGGCTTGCACGTGTATGTGATGATGATGCCAAGAAAAACAGTGGATTCGACAAGGCTCAGTTCTTCTCCATTTAAAACACATTGGTATTGAGATTTTTAACATTCATTGTTGATACTTTAATATTAGCATTATTTACTTCGTCATATTTAAGCGATTTACGTCTAAAATTGACTTTATAAATAAATGAAGTATCTTTAGCAAATAATAATATATTATGATTATCCCCTACAAGGGAAAGTAATGCATTAATTTAGACTCCCGTCGCACCTATGCGGCATGTGGGAGGCCCCATATTCAGTTGTTGACTTTTGATAGGCTGTAACAATAAAGGTGATGAAGTACACTGATGTTGAGTGTTTCACTGATGTTAAGTGTATGCCCTCGATTAAGAGTCAAAATACGGATGTATTCTGATTACGCCCAGAGATAGAAAGCTAACTAAGATGGCTAAGATAAAAGCTATCAGTAAAAATATTATTACATCACTATTTCAGAACTGAACCATTCATGCTGCAGGCAATATAGAGTTAGATCGTGACTCTACAGTCTACAACATACATTCTCTCACTATGCAAGAAAATATTTAACAACGATGGAAGTTAATCACTGTTTGAATAAACTCGTAAGAGTTTTAAGCACTATATAGTTAAAGTTCACTTGAGTTACACTGAAGAGAATGTGTCTAACCACGTTTTGTTATAGTATTTTCTCAATAATGTAATTATTATTTTAATTGTAATGATGTAATTAAACTAAGCAAGCACGTTATAGTCCTTTTCTTACAGTTGGTTTTAGTTCGAATTCTTGGAATATTGCCAAAGACTACACTGTACACAACAGTCAATTATTGAAACACATTACATTTATTTTATTATACAATTTTTTCATCTCGTAACCTGAGGCTACCAAATTACATCTGACAACATAAGTTGTCAGATGTAATACGCGGTAGAGTCACGTTGCAGTTATACTTTGATTGCAGCGTGAATGTGTCAGTTCGACCAGGGAAGGAACATGCTCCCACAGAATACCAGCGTAAAATAGCAGCTTATTTCTGTTTTGTTTCGTGTAGTGTGAGCAGAATACCAGAAATCTCTTTTACTAGCTACGAAACATTTAATTTTAGATCTCATTGGTGAAAACGAATTTACATTTTTATTCTTAATCGATGATAACGGTAATTAGTCACATCCACTTACCATCAGGTAGACCCTGTGCTCGTTTGTTACCCTTATTCTATAAAAATATCTCTAACTTTCTTTTTAGAGAAAACTATACGAATGATAAAGGCAAACTTCAGTCAGACTAACCCTGGTAAGTGCCGGTTTCTATAGATATTGAGCCGTTTCTTTTTTATTATTGAAGTATTTTGTAAAATATGGCACTCCAAGATTCACTCCAAAATTCATACTGGGAATTATAATGAATTCTCCTATGTCAAATACTATAAATTATAAAATAATAAAATAATTAATTTTTTATCGTACCAAATTGTAGTAAGTGTAATGAAATTCCTTCCTGGGCCTTTGTGACTTTTACTTAGGTTTGAGTTATAAAAATAGACTAAATAATAAGTTACTTTTAGATTATTAACTACAGAATATTGCAATAAATATTGAGAACTTATTGTTTTGGGAACTTGGGGACTGGACTTGGGACTCTACAATGTCCGACTCTTGATCACCGATGAACTTGTGGTCAGGTATTGCATTGGCGTTTAGTGGAAATATTCCAGTCTTTTCGAAGCCTTTTGTAGCATTCCCAACAGTGGCAGCCTGATTCCAAGCCCGTTGGAAAAGTGCTCCGAAAGCGACTTTTGTGATTCCTTGATTGGCATGTGAATGTTGCCATGCTGTAGCTTGTTGGTGATAATAGGTTTTGAGCGGTTTGAAAAACGATACATCGAGCGGTTGCAGGGCATGTGATGTGTGTGGAGGAAGAAGTACAAGTTCAATTTCGAAAGAGTCACACAAGTCTACCACTGAGTAGCTGGTGTGAGACGCATGCCCATCCAAAATTAGAACTACTTTTCCTGGGGTCCGGTAGCGATTGAAATGTTGCAGCCACAACTTAAAAGCTTCTTCGGTGACCCAGCCGTTTTCTGTCATGGCAACTTCAGTACCAGGTGGCATACCTAGGAGAAAATCGTCACGTTTACGCACACCTTTGAATAGAACAAATGGAGGTATGTACTGTCCTGCTGCATTCATACAGGCTAGAACGGTTACATTTTCACCTCGTTCAACACTAGTCATGCTGACAACATCTTTAGCACCTTTTTGGGCTATAATGTTGGGTGGGCGGTTACTAAGCGGCATACCCGTTTCATCAACATTGTATACACATTCAGGTTTTCCTCTTAAATTGTTGTTATCTACTACTGTTTCCAAAGTATTAAAGAATTCTGCTACTTTTTCCTTCTTCATACCATCACACCTTGCTCTTGACAGACCCTCCGGCTTCCGAATAGTTAATTTTTTATTTCTTTGCATGAAGCGATGAAACCAGTCCTGGCCAGCAATTCCAGCATTTCTGTCAAATTTGTGTTTTATGTTTTGACGTTCTGCAAATTCAAACGCGTACTTACGTACCGCTTTGGGTGTAATTCCGAAGCCACGACTTGCTAAGTGCAATAGCCGGTCAGCTAACTTCTTTTCTGCGTTCTCATCTAAAGCTGGCTGTCCACCTCGACGCTTAATAATACCCCTGGATAAAGTAACTCTTCTCTGTAAGCTCGTGAACGGTACTGCAAAAATCTCAGCAGCCTTACGTAAGGTCAACTCTTTGTTCTGGACTTTATTTACAGCCTCTTTCATTTTTTCTTGAGACCATTCTCCGGCATCAGTCTTTCTTCTGTACGTGCGAACCATCTACAATGAAATAAATATAAATCAATAACTTCAAACATGTCATAAATCAGTTTAAAAGTGTGATCCGATTCGCCCCTGACGATATGATCCGATTAGCCCCATAATCAAGACTTTTGAAATAAATATTTTAGACGTTAACCTCTAAGATCATACTTAAAAGCGAATTGGTTCTCTAATATAGACACCTTGCTTAACAATATAAACCAATATAGTTGAGTTATAACACAAATCCGCAATATGACACAAAGAAATCGTAAGTACGTACCTTAGATGAGCGCCAAAATTGCGACACACACAAACGACCGAGTCGCTGACTAGCGGCGTCGCCACTGATTCACAAGTGCGATCGAAATACTGCCTATGTCGGGAGGTGCGGGGTGAGAGGAGATACGCAAAACGCCGGTTGAGTGCGTTCTATATGAATGCGATATTTGAATTATCAACAGATTTCTTATTTTGATCCGATTCGCCCTGTGATCCGATTCGCCTCGGTCTACCCTAGGTAAGTCCTTAATAATCGGGACTATAAAATATCACTTAGATACCAAAACACATGTAGGTAAATGATAAAATGACTTTCAATAAGTATAAGTAATAATCTGTATTGAATACAAATTATTATTTTCTATTGTGTACAAATTAATGAAAACAGCTAAAGCAAGAGCAAGAAGCAAGTAAATTAATACATAATTACGTCGGCCATCTTGTTGCGTCACGCGTCACCGCACCGCGCGTGTTTGTCGCGGCATAGCAAACAAACGTGCCGTAATTGAGTGGTATTGTGTGAGACACGTAAAAAGCTTGCAATTGCTTATGATGCTCTCGTTAATTAATACAATTCATTCCGTCGTGTACACTGTCGGCTTAAATTGAAAACAACTCGTTAATATTGTTGTTAAGAAGGTAATCCATTGTATTGTGTGGTGTGGTTGGCAACCTTGATGGCTTGGTACCTATCTACTTAGTACTCATTAAGTTACAAATTACAATAGAGATGAGAGAACATATAATTTTTTTAAATTATCTACATTGAAATATGTCATGAAGCACAAACTGTACCTACACAAAAATTAATATGAATACAATTTAAAATATGAATTGGGGCGTACTTCAATGGATTAGTAAGCTGAAATCACAATAGGTCGTCTTTTGGAGGTCGGATCTTGTGAACCAGCCGAAAAAATTTAACTTGAAAGGCTACAATATAGTCATTATCTAAAGTTAAATTATAAGTATTCTATCCTACCGTGTAGTGGCGGTGTAAGAAATTCATACACTGATATGTATATAATATAATATGGAATAGTGGATATTCTTACTAAGAATATTATCCACTTTCTTCCGTTTTATCTCGTAGGTGTCGTAAGAAGTGACACGTGGAAACGATTCAGGAGACGGGCAGTAGCGTCTTCCTAATAACGAATTTAAAAAAATACCAACCCCCTTGCCAAGCGTGGCAACTATTACTATCCCCCTATCAGTCCTTCTGCGGGGGAAGCCTGTATTCAGTAGTGGACTTTAATAGGAAGTAATTATTACAGTCTATAAAAGCCCGCTGCTGAAATAGGACGTAACAACTATATATTTGTGATCTATGTTCGGCATTTAAATCAGGGCTTTGGATCTCATGATTTAAATATAATATTTTATAGAGGGATTATTACAAAATTCTTTATTGCATTCAAGTAATTGGTACAAAGTTGAACTTAACACCGAAGTGGCATTCCCTGCTAGTTTACATTTAGTAGAGTGGTGATAGCAATAACTTGTTCTGATATAAAATTAAATCTCTATTTATTATAATTACTAGGCGGTAGGACTCCCCTGCTGGCCAGGAGTTCGTCTGGGTGTGCCCCATCCTCCTACTTATTGCCGCCGTCACATGGCAGTACCTACTTGCAATGAAGAGGATTCCTGCCACCTAGATACCATTTTCTTATCTATTTCTGCATTTCAGTTTTTATAGTCGTGGTTGTACCTCGGTGATAATTTTCGGATACTATTAGAAGTTGAAAGTCGTGTAGCAGCAGCATGGGTAAATCCACCAGCCTCCACCCGTATCCGAAAGAGAAAAGAGAGATGGAAAATGGGTAGCAGCATCTATCTAATAATCATTTAAAATAATAGAAAAACTGTTGTTACGTTGCCTCCCAGGCAAGCGTAAGCAGCAATACCATTTTTTTATTTCAATAAACTGTACAATTAAATCAAACAACGCCTTAATCAAAAAATACACTACAATAACGGGTACCTGCTCTGTTACTGAGACCTGTTACTCAGGTGTATGTGTTTATAGATACACCAACTAATATTTTCTGTTTTGTTATATAAAATGAATAACATACCAACTAATTAGGGTTAATTTCGTTAAAATATATATCATGAATTAACTTCATACAATCAGCAACTTTTTCGTGTCATCGTATGAAAAATTAAAAAAATATATCCACCCTATAAGGCAATGTATGGGGACGGATATGTTTGGCAATGTGCTTATGATAGGCTGTCATGATGATGATGATGATTACAAGTTCGCAACGTGAATTTGAGAGGGAAAAAGAAAAAGATTCATATATGTAATTATGTCAGCAAATTATTATTCATCAGTTACTTAACAAGAACTCTAGAATCTTTTCCATAACACGACGAAACACCTTACGACCGAAAATTACGAACCTAAAGACCTAGTTCCTCTTGGCACTCAAACAAAAAGCCAACGTTGTCCGAAACGTCGCGGGAGCTAAACAAAAGCATCTGAGATCATAATATCGCGCCACAATGAGCGGCCGGTGCTGGCAGCGCCGCGCGGCTTTGTCCGCCATTTTGCTCCATTTTTCTTAACACCCCCGGGCTGTGGGAACAAGGCGCTGTAACGCGATCCCGGCACGTTTACGGGACTCTTGTTTTCGGAGAGTTTTTTGCTTTGAGACGTCCGTTGTATCGTCGCGATAGTACGGGACCGGCTGAGGGTTTATACTCGTACTACCATTATGGTTTTTGAACGTTCCTATAATTCACGTTCCTTCAGTTATTAAGATAGATGGTGTCTCTGCTAAATAGAATTGGAAGAATAAAATCCTAGGTTTTTTTAAATTTAATAACACGTATGACTAGAAAAAGGTTTGATAATTTAACACGCTTCATTTTAATGGGATCACAGTTATGGTTAGTGAGAGACAGAGACTATAGGTACATCAATTCTAATGCAAATTACACTAGCTACGTTCTCCTGAGATATATTTTATAATAAAAGGAATACTAAGTTAGTCCAATATTATGGTTAACAGTTCATTAATATTTTACGTATGTCCCGTAGCTTAGATGTTTTAAGCTAAAAGATAGACTATTGTTTCATTTATATATACCTATCCTACTGATAAAACCTTATTTCGGAAAAAATACTGATTAGTCTCAAATATTTTGTAAGTTTTCCACTTTAATATTTATTTTCAACTATTTAGTGATTTTAATTGTGTTATTTTTGTTTGTTTCATGTACGTAACGTAGCGGTTCGACAGTTTTACTCAGGTAAACCATTCTTTTTTGCGCTGTACCGAAGTTTAATCTTCCAGAGAATTTCGTTTTTCTCAGTTAATTTGTATAAATTAACACCATAGCTCAAGAAAGAACTTCTGTAACATGTGATTTCATTCACAGATTTTAAATATTCATATTGTTATGAAAATATAATGACTGAAATAAATAATATTTATCCGTAGCTGCTTACAAAAAAAATACAGTAAAAAAATCAAAGCACAAAGGAAAAATCTTACGATTTATAACCAGTTTCTTTTTTACAGAATAAGGTGACAAACAAGCACACAGTCCTCCTGATATCAAGTAAATGCGGTGCTCTTTAGATATGTACATTTATCCTTAATTAAGAATTAAAATGCAGATACATTGTCACCCCTGAGGACTAAGTTGCAATGCAAATGCAAATGCTCACCATACGAAACAGAACAGCCTTAAGCTGCTATTTTACGCTGGTATTCTGTGAGAGCGTGGTCCTAACCCGGTTGAACCGACCCATTCCTGCTACAACTAACATAGCTGCAGCGTAGCTCTACCACGTCAAAGGTTGGTAGTGGCGTAAGTGTATTCTACACTCAATTTAGTAATGTAATTATTGTAATAAGCGACTATGGAATTTCCTAAAAAGAGGTTTTGGCTTCCGATAGATGGCGTTGGAACCAATACCCAGACGGGAGAAGCATTACAAGAGATGCCCAATTGCCCATATCCCGTAGTAGAGTTATACGAGCTGATAAAAGATTACGTATTCTCAATAAGCTAGATTAATAATACTTAGTAATTTATTTTTATGAAATATAAAAATGCTCCAAGTTCTCTGTGCCTTTGCCTTTTAAGCATAAAAATTAAGCCAAATTTAATATATTATAAACTGTGCGAAAAAGTAATTTAAAATGTGACAAAACCGCGTCTGCTCGAGGATCCATACAATTAACGGTGTGAGTGAAAGAAATTGGCAATTCGGGCGCAACAAGGCAATCCGGCACGCCGCTTGCAGGGAATATTTGATTTGGCGCGGACTCCGCGCTCGTTTTTATTCGCGAGCGCGCCCTCCGCCGCGAGCTTCCGATTTGCGAAGCGTGGCTACGAGCTTGTATGAACCTAGTACCGATTTTTTAAACTGTCTACTTAATTTTCAATAATATTTCGCGATTGTGATTTATTAATAAGATATAAACGTTTTAAATAATGAGCGTTTTAGTTTAAAACAAATTTTAGTAAAAACCAGAGGTTTAGTTAAGTATTTACGATACAAAGTCATTACTGCCAATAGTTCTATAGCCATAGACCAAAGTAATGAGTTGCTTTTTCCTTCTTTATATCTTAAAATCTATTATTGTTTAAAAACTAAACACATAACATAATGGGTGCGTTTGGCAGAAAAAAGCGCTAGCAAGCGCTTATAAGCAAAATGGCGATCCTAAGCGGTAATCGCTGTCAAATCGTAAGTAGCTATTTTCCTCCAGGACACGATGTTAGTTTTAACCGGGGAATCTAACCTAATTTAAATATATGTTTGTAAAGTATTCATATTAAAAACTTACCAATCATGAGTTTTTAATAGCATGTATATGTTTATTCATGTCATTATATTACTTAAAACTAATATTGCACAAAACAACTTATAAACTCTACTTCAAAACAAACAAATTAAATAAGCAAAATGGCGGATTGTGTCAGCGCTACTGAAGTAGCAATCGTGTCCTGGCCGAAAACTATTTTAGCGCTTATAAGCGCTTGCTAGCGTTTTTTTCTGCCAAACGCACCCAATATCTTAATTTTAATATGGATTTACGGTACAATCTTTGGAGGTTGTCAAATTTAATTTTAGAATAGTTATAGAACATTGAAGTCCGATTTTTCATTACTCAGTTAAAATTTATTCGTAGTACCTACCAATAAAATACAACATAATCAAATTAAAAATTACACTTGTATCAACAAAATAGATCAATTATTTTTTCATTTTTATGTTAAGTCAGGTTCCAATTTAATTGATGGATAACTTTTACCTGACGATTAAAAAATTGGCCCTAAAAGTATTATTATATAGTATTATAAAACACACATAGGTATCACGTTTGTCTTGTAGGTATATGACATTAGTAGGTAATATGTATTTATACTGTCGAATTTTTATCTTTAAATTGGGTAGCACATACATTTCGCGTTTTAATACAAGAGTCGTCACCCAAGCTTGTAATGCGTGTCGCTTCTACCCGTGTGGAGAGAGGACGCTTAGTTCTATCAGGAGCTTTTCACGCGTAAACAAATCCTGTGGTTTGATTCCCGGTGCCTCGCGGCGCCGGCGTCCGTGTCGCTAACATCATCAGCGCCTCGAGATCGCGCCACCTCGCAAATCTAATCTCCAGCGGATCCGCGCAAATTGGCCTACCGCCGATTGCCAATCTGTCGGCGCGACTCGCGTAAAGTGGCCCAATATATCAAATAACCGTAAACGTTTCACTGTCGGCGCGTTTTCAATATATTTTATATTACATTTGTGACATTCTAGTGTGCCTTTTGTAGGAAAATTTTGCCGTATTACGTATAACAAGGGTACTACTAGGTACTACTAGAGGTAATTGTATCAAATTTACGGTGTATTTGGGCCGGGATTTATAATTTCAATATCATCATCACTATCATCAACACCGTCATCAGCCCTTAAAAGTCATGGGACTCTCCCGTTGTAGGCAGAGTAGCTTGTGAGTAGCCAGCGCTGCACCAAAGCTCTATTATTTTATCTGTCTCCGATCTGCTCAGATAGTTTATTTTTTTTAATTATGTCGTGCTATCTTAAATATTATAAAACTGGAATATGTTAAAGTTCCGTTTGTCATTTTGTATTTATTCCTATTTTACAATTTTATGTAATATAGGGGCGGCGTTAGAGAATCTACTGTTACAAAATATCACTCCACTTTGTGGATTAGTGGATTTTATTCGTTGCAGAGCCACGTTGTGGTTGCAGTACGAATGAGTCGGCTTGACCGACGAAGCGCCACGCTTTCACACACTACTAGTAGGTACTAGCCTAAAATAGCAGCTCAGTGTTGCTGTGTTTCGTATGGTAAATGTAGAGAACTGGAAACCCTTTTTACTGCAATACTAGATGTCTGTAGGCCACAGCATCCACTCATAAGGTGAGTTGTTTTCTCATTTGTCACCCTTATTCCATTTAAAAAAAAACCTTGGTATAGGGAAGTTTGCACCTTTTTAAAATAATTATAAAATAACCAAAAGTTGTGAGTTTTATTTATGCTTTAGCAAGTTAATTAAACAGCGCAATACACCGCAACAAACTTACCTACTGACTACCGTTGTGTTTACTTCGTTATGAATACTTTTTATGGATATATTCGTTCTTCGATATGAATACGTTATATGGATGTTATGTATTAAGTATTAAAATTAATAAATTATTAATTGCAATAAGAATCCAAATTTTTATACAAATAATTATGTTCTATTCGTTAACGTTTAAAATTAAATTTAATAATAACGTTATTAAGCATTTTTTAAGATATTAAAGAACTACATTTTGTTTCCTATTCAGTCATATTTTGTTATGACGTTATTTTTATTAATGAATTTAATAAGGAATCGAAATAATTCAGTTCTTATAATTTAACTTTAGGAACAGATAGGTTTAACAACTAACGCCATCTAGAAGCGAATTTCGTAACTAATTTTATAATGAATTTGACGCAAGATTTAAAAAAAACATACGTGTATTGGAATCGCCAGATAGAACACATTGATAATTAAAATACACGATGTATGACTGGAATTTAAATGGTAAATGAATGTGAGACTTTTGCCGTTTGATTTAGTTTTAAGATTATAATCTTACCGTACAAAAATCCCATGCGGTTTTAGACATAAATAACTGCAACTGGTTCGTACCCATTTGTGCAAAGAAATATTCTTTGGGACGCGTGTTAACTTAGAGAAGATTGACGCTTTTTGGTGTTCTTTTTACCCGACTGCCCCAGCAGAAGAGTAATTTTTTCGAGAGTATATAAGTATATTTTTTGGTAGATACCTATATCTTGTATAGCTTAAACAGCTTGATGAATTTTAACGTATGAAGTGTCAAATGTAGGAGTGACGTAGGTTACAAAAATTTTCTCTTTTCATCATACATTTTACACAGTTGAGTATTTTTAAATTACTGTTTTGACGATAGCGCTTGTTTAGTTTCGCATACATGCAACTTAGTGACGTTTTCCTTTATCGTTGACCAGCAGATGTAGCGCTACATCCAATTGAAATAAATTATCACTGTCTTTGGTAGGGTCACAGTGCAGGATACTATATATAGCCCCAGCACGAAGTACAGCAGCACTATACAGCAGGTATTCTGTGAGAACGTAGTCCTTCCGCAGTCGAGCCGGTCCACTCGCCTTATGCCATACATAACACGTTCCAGCGAATCTCTACCACGTAAAAAATTTCTTTAAATAGTCTTCGAGAGGCGTAATAGTTCAGAGTCCCAAGCGCTCTTCGTAAATTTCACCGTTCCGAAGCTATCTGGGTTCGATTTCCGCCAGCATCACCGAAATCGTTAGCTGTAATTTTAAGTGCTGATTAGCCACGTGCTCTGCGGTGACTAAAACATCATGTCTGAGGAATAATAATATCTTATATACATTTTAAGTCCACGAAATAGCGAGGCAAACTAATTGCTTCATTTTCTCTCAGAAATGAGTGGACATCATGTCCAGGAGGGGGCTAATAAGGCTGTATTTCACAGGGTGTCAGGTATAATATATAGCCCTCAGAGGTGACAACGGACGTATATATCAGTAGCATTCTTGTGCAATGTTGGCTGCAAGTGTTCAAGGACTGCGGTAGTCCACCAGGTGGATTGTAAGTTCGTTTGATAAAACTATTTTTACGGATTTTATTGAATTATTAATTTTGAGGGGTGGTTTTGTCTTTGCTTTATATTTTTTGCAAATTTTCGTTTTAAAATTTTGTAAGTTTGT